CACGCAGAGCCCTCTCTGTGGGCACACGCGCTGTCGCCCCAGTCCTAGGCCTTCAGCTGGGTTTTATAAAACCTTTTTGCTTTAGGCCTCCACTGCCATGTGCAAAAAAAAAAAAAGGTTCAATCAATCAACCAATTTCAACTTCTCGCGGGGAAAAAAAAGATCTCGCAAAGTTGGAATTGATTGATTGAACTTTTTAGTCCCACCCAGTCGGCCGTTACCACTGCAGCCATGCCCACCCAATGGGCCATGCCTACCCAATTGGCCACATCCACCCAATGGGCCACACCCACCCAATGGGCCACGCCCACCCGGCACCCGACGATACATGAGTGGGTTTTGGGTTGCAGTTCGGGCACTCGGTCTCTAAAAGGTTCACCATCACCGGTCTAGATGGCTTCAGCAAGGCAGTTTCTTCAGATCGATTTAGTGAGGAATGAAAACATCCATCTCTGCAGAGGACGTTCCCCGTGGACCACGCGTGGCAGATCCTCGTTCGCCCCACTCTTCCGACTGCATCGTTACAAAACAAAGCTCATGACATTTACCTACCCTCTGAGAAGTGCACCTTGCGAAGCTCTTCGGCCGAGACTTAGCTTATGCATCTCAGCCATTTCTTTCAGCGTCTCTGCTGAGTAAAGGCCAATGGGGTTGTTATATTGCCTGGCAGGGCTCAACTGGCACTTCGCTATATTGTCCTGAGTAAAGACGGGGCTTGTTTTCGAACCTAAGTCAGATTTGGCTGGCAAGAGGTCAGGGGTCACAGACTGAGAGGAGGACATGGAAGATCTAAAGCTGGCGCTCATTAAGAAGGAAGAGGTCTGGGACAGACTGGCCTCCTGTCGGCTGAGGTAGCCTGAATGCGCACCATTGCTGGCTAAAATGCTATTCCTGACCCCCACTGAGTTGCTGTTTAGAGGACTGAAGCTTTCTCGGCCGCCACTGATTTCCAAGACTGAATCCTGTAGAAGCAAATATACAGGCAAAAGGTAGGAAGGGAGGGAGGGGGAAAAAAAGGAAGAAAGAAAGGAAAACGATCATAACATTCATGCAGAAAGGAGAAATTCCCAGCTCCGGCAATCTATACAAAGCAGTAAAGTTGCCAACCATTTATTTAAGCAAAAAAAAAATAAAATTAAAATGCGGTTATTTTATATTCTGAGCTGTCGGGACAGAATCGGTTAGCTCAGAAACGCAAAGAGGGTAAATCCCAGCTGAGGACATTCCAAAGAAAATCTGGAATATGTCGCTGTTTAGACCCCAGGGGCAATCACTTGGTGTGCGATACAACGTTTGACTTGTAGCCTGGTTGGCAACTTTACGTACAGGTAGCCCTTGACTTACAACAGTCTGTTTACTGGCCATTCAAATTTGCAAATGTGACTTACGGCCGTTTTTCACACTTACAGCCGTCGCAGCCTCCCCAGGGTCACGTGATCAAAATTCAGACGCTCGGCAACTGACTTGAACTTGTGACGGTTACGTTGTCCCAGGGTCATGTGACCTTCTGACCAGCAAAGTCAATGGGGGAAGCCGCAGTGATGCATTTAACGACTGCGGCAAGAAAGGTCGTAAACTGGGGCAAAACCCAACAGAAATGTTGGGCTCCGTTGTGGTTGTAAGTCGAGGTCTACTTGAATTAAGCGTTTGCATCCAAACAAAGAAGCAACTTCAATAGACTTGCATTAGCCAAGCAAAAATCTCAACTTCGTCTCTTCCCCCCGAAGAGGGACGTCAATAAATCGTCTCCAAACAGCTGCTATTATTACTTATGTAACAGGCCGTCCACTGTGATTGCCAATTTGTTGGGCTGGACAGCACAGGGGACGTTTCAAGGAATCTGGATGGCTGGACAGCATTCCCATACGTGACAATGCCATAAACGAGGAAGGAAAGGGCGAAGGGGTTTATAGCTGGTCTCTATATAATTAGTCCCAGCTTATAAAGGCTGCTGGCAAAGTTCATGCTGATCAAGGCCATTAAACACGCCGAGCAAAAGAGGCTGCAAAGAAGAAGCTGTTAATAGACCCTGCCCGGGGCATCGCTTTGACTTGAGCGAAGGAAAGAGGGTCATCTACAACAGAGGTTCTCCAGGGACATGGAGAAAGGTTTTTCTGTGGACCAGACGGGGTGCGGTTTTGAATACCGCCTGCATCCCAAGGATGGAGCTTTGCTCGTTTGTACGGCCCGCTTGCTGACATGCTGCGGACCGGTGCCGGTCCACGGACCGGTGGTTGGGGACCCTGATCTACAACACAGGAATCTTGATTCTTGAGTCAGTAATTCTACCCCGGTTGCCCCCAATCTTTCTTTACCCCTTGGCCAAAGAGATAGAAATTATGATCAGATGTCCTCTTCATTAATGGTCATCTGGTCCCTGTTCATGATGAAAAGGTTTCCGAGGGTGAATTGCAAGCTGCCAACTTCCACACAGCACCAATACACTGCGTGAAGAATTCACGTTCATAGCATCATCATCATCATCATCATCATCATCATCATCATCATCATCATCATCATCAAAGTTGGAAGAGACCTTGGAGGTCTTCTAGTCCAACCCCTGCTCAAGCAGGAGGTCCTATACCATTTCAGACTAATGGATCTCCAATCTTTTCTTAAAAACCTCCAGTAATGGAGCGCCCACAACCCCTGAAGGCAAGCCATTCCACTGGTCAATTGTTCTCACTGTCAGGAAATTTCTCCTTAGTTTTAGGTTGGTTCTCTCCTTGGTTAGTTAGTTTCCATCCATTGTTTCTTGTTTTGCCTTCTGGTGTTTGGGAAAATAAGTTGACGCCCCTCTTCTTAGTGGCAGCTCCTCAGATATTGGAATATACTGTAGGTGGATCCGTCAACCTAACAATTTTTATAAACTCCCAACGTTTAGATTCATGGAGAATTCTGAATGCTGGAATTAAGTTTCTCTCTGTGCTGACTTAAATAATAAAAAAAAAGTCGTGAGACATCCTTTCAGCCTCCTGTCTTTTAAAAGTCTTTAAACAATGGTAAATGTTCATTTTATCTCATGGCTTGTATCTCTGAGCCAGAGAACCTATGTATTAAATTGCTCACTCTGAGGGTCTTTTGTAGAAGAAGATACTCAGAGGATCCTAGCGAGATAAGTTGAAGGTTATCTTGTCTCTGAACATAGTCAGAAGTGTGGGCTATCCCAACTTTGTTAATCACTCATCCTGATTATTAGTGCAAACACCTATATCTACCCTTCATGCTTTTCCAGCTTTGAAAGCTCATCATTTTAGGATAAACGTTTGAAACACAGGGAGAAGAAAGGGACTCATCCTTTTTCTTCTCCTGCTGCTAGTTTTGAAAGTCAGAAGTGAACTCATAGCTTCCTTGCTTCTGGTCAAGTTTTCCAGGAAACATTTTATTGACTCTTTTCTAGAGTTTCCATTAGAAATGCTGGTTTTAAATATAATCCCTATTCTCTTCACATTACGCGTTTTAATGCTAAGAAGGCTCTCTTCTTTGCTTGGCCTAGTTCAGGGGTAGGCAGCCTTGGCTCTTTTATGACTCGTGGACTTCAACTCCCAGAATTCCTGAGCCATCATGGGGGAACTATGGCTCCTTTATGACTTGTGGACTTCAACTCCCAGAATTCCTGAGCCACCCACGCTGAGGGGAATGCTGGGAATTGAAGTCCACGAGTCATAAAAGAGCCAAGGTTGCCTACCCCTAGCCTAGTTATTACTTTGTATTTACTGAATTACTTCAGTTATTTACTGAAGGATTCTTACCTCAATGATCAAGCAAAAAGATTCCCAGAAATGCCTAGCTAAGGGGTCAATAGCAAATAAATGAATCCTTCTTCGGGATTTAGATGAGAAAGGAGGAATCACATGATTAAAAACCCAAACAGAGATTGAGTACGAGATGATTTGTCATGCAAAATCAGTCCACGTTACCAGCATTCAATGGCTATCAGATTAACTTAGATAGAATTGAAAGAGCTGTATTAATTTCAGCTTTCTAGCAAAGTTCCATCTGGGGGGGTGTCCTTGATGCTCTCTTGTTTTCTTGCAGATGTTTCATTACCCAAACCAGGTAACACAATTCCATCTTTTCTTCACTTTATGCAATAGAAACAATCTGAAATATATCTAATGCTAACCCTAACCCTCATATCTATTCTACTTACTCAAGGCAATCATCTGTTTAAATAATTTGTTCTGGTAGAATTTGCCCAAAAATACTTTTTCCAAAAGGCAACTAGACTTTCTTGGGGTTTTTTTTCGTTGAAAATGTTTTGCTTCTCATCCAAGAAGCCTCTTCAATTCTATGTCTCTTCAGTTCTTCAATTTAGAAATGAAGAAACTTCTTGGGTGAGAAGCAAAATGTTTTCAAAGGAATATTGGAAACCAAGAAAGTCCAGTTTCCTTTGGGAAAAAGCACCTTTGGGACAACGATTGAGAATGATTGAGAATCTCCAGAGGCAGTTTGCCAAAATATTGTGAAAGGACATTACAAGCTGTAAAGTATGAGATGCTTTTAAGGATAATTCACTCTCTTAAAGCCAGAGAACATCGAGTTTTCAACTTCTCCCATTTTGGTCCTTCACCCAGGGCAGAGATGGGAGAAAGAAGAAAAAGTTCAGCAATTCAACAGTCTCTGTCGTCCAAACACTACACATAAAGCATGAGTTGGTTTCCATAATCAACTTCTCTCTTTTTCTCCTTGAGTTCCTCCTCCTCCAAATATTAGAAGAAGCTACAGTAGATACAACAGCTAACAAAGAGATCCAGAACTTGTAGACAATGAGTGTAACACTCAAAAGATGGGAATTCTTTTGAAGTCTGAGGACACATTATTGCAAGTAGGAGGAAGAGAAGAGAGGGACGACAATTCTGTTCCTTTAGAAAGACAAAGTAATCTTTGCCATGTGATACATTACAATATTGTGACTTTAATGTCTCCCACTCAAAGGTCAGTCTCCCTGAAGAAATGCAGAAATGCAACATAAACAAAAAAAGCTATTGGACACCTACCTTTTGATGAGGGATCACAGGCATGGGAGAATCAATCCTCGGGGTGCTTGTTGGTATCGGAATTGGACGTTTTGATCTGGCAAGAACACGAGAAAAAAAATTGGTTATTGAGCAGCGGATGATTTCCCACATCTTTTAAATAATTTATTGTATACCACTGCCAACACTGGCTTTAATCTTTGCACCGGCCTTCCAGTTTTACTAATGAATCATCCATTTTTTTCCCCCTTTCAAATCTGGGCACGTGTGCTTAAATCCTTTCGTCCATTCATCTCCTTCTTCCAAACAACACGGGAATTTCAACATTGCAAGTAAGAAGAAAGAGTGCCATATCAGTACAAACATACACACGAAGCCGGAGCCTTAAGTTGCATACAAACAAGGAGAAGAGAAGGGGAGGTCTAAGGAACAACATTTCGTTAAATTCAATTTTCCGCAAGGCCACGGAGGAAACACAACTTCATTGGTTGGAAGAAATAACACACCAGGCCAATGTCCATCATGATCTACTTCTTCTTTCCTTCTACTGGGTCATGATGTTGGCTGATCACCCAACAATTGTCTGCTTAATTTCACATTTAGACCTTCTAACTGTACTAAGCCAACAGGCTAGGGCACAGAGACAAAACTGGACAAAGCTATTTTTCAGAGGCTTCTGAATCTATATAAATAAAAATGTAAATGTTTGTTTGTTCAAAACCTTAAATCTCTGAAAGTTCTTTACCGATTGCTTTGACATTTTGACACAACGTTGCATTTGAATACGCACATGTTTTTATATACCTATATTATATAGATGTCACACCTGTGACAGGTAAAACATGCTTTTTTGAAAAACAGCACCATCTGTTGGACGTAAAAGCAACACACGCTTTTACCAGACTGAGCCACAGCAACGCGTGGCCGGGTACAGCTAGTTCAAAATAAAATAAAATAGGGAAACTAGAGATGAAGAATAGATTAAGGTTGAATGAACATTGCAATATTTATCTTTCTTGTTTTACAGTCAGGATGTCCACAGGATAGAGTCTAAAAGTTTCTTTGATTGCACCATTGCAACTGCTATTTTGACTGGTTTGCCCATACCCTGTGGATGCTCCTAGTTGGAATTAAGGACTGACGCTAAATCGGGCCTCTTCTGATCCTGGGTTTTGAGCTGTAGAGGCAGGCAGATATGGGGGGAAGGCATGACATGATCATGACACTAACATAGCTTGCAGCACATGGCAATGTCTGTAAACTCTCTCTACTACACATGTGTTTGAACTGAAAAACAGTTGTCAAAGTTCAGAGAGCTCAGAAAGGAAAATGTAAATTGCAGCTTCTTGGCAAAGCCTTTGTCATGGTTCCGAGAGACGAAACTCTTCAAAAGAACTTTGAGGCATTGTTTACCTTAAAGAATCTTTATTCGAGTAGCATAGCATTGGCACGTACCTAGGCCAAGCCAAAATCTGAATTCCCCTCCCCTGAGCACATAGTATCAAAGCACAATTCCCTTCTCTAATTAAACAGTCATAAATCACATTCTCCAATTAGTTTGAAATGCAGGCTTTCCCTCCAGTTCTTCAACCCGCCATTTCTTATCATCTCTTATTTCAAAAAACCTTGGTTCTCACACTAGTTACCATATTGTTATGTTTAACTAAAATCCCATGCACATTCCTCCCCCCCCTAGTATCATCTAATTCTAACTCTAATTCTAAGAGTAAAACATAAGAAGGAAAATGGCTGCATCTCCATATGTTGTCAAAGCAAGAACATCCGATGTTAGCAGCGTTGACATCCTTACTCCATTCCTCTTTCTTCCCTTCCCTTTATTTCAAATGCTAATGTCAGTTAACCTGAAGAGGCAATTAATATTGTCTTCATATTCATAGATGGAATAAGAAAGAATGCCTTGCTTGCTAATGCTTTGATGTCTGATTCCAGGACTTTGCAATGTTCTCTCCTCTTATAAATAAAGAGGCTCATTTTAGAAATAAATTTGCACCTCCCGTGTTACACCTACTCTATCTTCTTTAAGTCTCCACTAAAACAAATTCACCCTTTATCACTCAAATGTACTGAAGCAGACGTCAAGGGTTTAGAGATTGTCTTTCTCATTTCATGGAGGCCTTCTCTGTAACAAGTCTTCTATTGGATCCTTCTGAGTAAGGGGAAGACCACATCTACTTCCAGGCAGAGCTTGTGGAATACCCTGTGCAGCACAACACCACTCCAAAGAAGGGCAATGAAGTCCAGGGTGAATTAAATGGCCTCCAAATGGAATCATTGTGCATACAGTCCCCCAACGTGGTGTGTATGTCATGCTAAACCATGGTTTGCTTAAGCATAACTTAGGGAATATAATGGCTGGTTTCCGAAACCATGGTTATAATAATAATAATAAAAGTTGGAAGGGACCTTGGAAGTCATCGAGTCCAACCCCCTGCTCAGGCAGGAAACCCTACACCATTTCGGACAAATGGCTGTCCAGTCTCTTCTTAAAAACTTCAAGTGTTGGAGCATTCACCGCTTCTGGAGGCAGGTTGTTCCACTGGTTAATTGTTCTAACTGTCAGGAAGTTTCTCTGTAGTTCTAGGTTGCTTCTCTCCTTGATTAGTTTCCATCCATTGCTTCTTGTCCTGTCTTCAGGCGCTTTGAAGAATAGCTTGACTCCCTCTTCTTTGTGGCAACCCTTGAGATACTGGAAGACTGCTATCATGTCCCCCCTCATCCTTCTCTTCGTTAAACTAGACATACCCAATTCCAGCAACCGTTCCTTATATGCTTTAGCCTCCAGTCCCCTAATCATCTTTGTTGCTCTTCTCTGTACTCTTTCTAGAGTCTCAGCATCTTTTTTACATTGTGGTGACCAAAACTGGATGCAGTATTCCAAGTGTGGCCTTACCAAGGCATTGTAAAGTGGTATTAATACTTCACGAAGAGTATAAGATGGATTGTAATAAGATGGGTGTATTGGTGTATATATGTGAAGAGATACACAGACTTAACCAAGTGATTCAAGGAGCTCCAGTCTGACTAGAGCCATTAAAACAAATATAATAAGATTAAACTTCAGGGAACAGTTCAACCAAGCCACTTTTGAACTGAATATTTGAATTGAGTATTGAATTGATCATCTGCACAGCCCACACTGACTCATCACACATCTGGACAAACGCTTTAAAGAACCACCCTGTGGTACACAAGTTAGACCTAGCACACTTTAACATGTATTCTGTTCAATGTGCTGGCAAATCCACAGCAATGCAAAGGACCGTTACATAGACAATATCCTTCACTGCTATTTAATAGAGGGGTACCAATCGTGAATTTGTTGGCCCTATCATGATTCCTCCACTGAACAAACCTACTTAAAGCTTGCAACCCCCCCCCCCACAGATATTCTATCCGCCAATGGTTGAATCAATTTCAAGGTGTGAGAATTAGAAAGAAATTATTTTTTACTCGCTTCTCAGCTGACTTGGAGCATTTTTCCCCCCACTCATCAAATTCTCACATTTATTCACCAACATTTGAATGATTAACAAGATTCGACCTTACAACAAGGAAGATAACCTTTCAAAACTGTTAAATCAAGAGTTACCCATAAAGTACTAAAGATGGGATAAAAATCTAACAAATAATAAATAAGTCTTTCCTTCATTATGAATCTGAATGCCATAACAGATCATGATTTATATGGATTTAGAAAGGGGTGCTAAGCAAATACATTAGATCTGAAAGAGCAACAGAAACTGAATCTGTTTTACGCCAATCCATTGAAAACAGTCAATCGTTGTTGTTGGTGGGAATAGTTTGTTTCCTACATCAATGGTGGACCATGTTGGAATTTTTCCATGGTTTGACAGCCCAACTGGGATTATCACAGGTTTGCTGCAGCTATTTCATCAGTAACTCTTTTACAACTTCTTTAACATAAGAGTTGAGCCATGATTGTGACAGAAACATCTCTCATGCTTAATTAACCATTCCTTGACACTTGAAACAAAATAAAAATATATCGGCTCCAACAGTCTGTGCAAAAGAGAGATCATTCATGCTCATCCGTCTGTATTGATGTCCTAATTACAATCTAATAGGGACACTTACGTCAATGCAGTTCTAGTATTTTTTTGATCCGGCAAGTCATATGATATTTGTTTTCTATTTATGGCAGCCTGATAGCTAAAGCCAGAATATTTCCATCACTTCAATATCTTCAGTGTAAATATAAGGGCCATTATTCTGTACCTTTTGTCATTGTTTGGTTTTTTTAATACTTAATTTTAGTTCCATTTTTTTCCCCATTTAACCTACCAGCCCCACTAAACACTCTCCATTTAGCTTTGTAATTTTTGGAGAGAAGGAAGGCCCAGGTCTAAACAAAGCACTACTTACTGTATTATTTCGATATTTTTTTTTTTACAAATGGCGCCACACGGAGAAGCATTATAATAAAGTAACCAGGCCTGTAAAAATTTAAACAGCCACTAGAGGGCAGGAAAGGAACACGTAGAAAACTGGCCTTGTTGCCTTCTAGTGGTTGCTTAGAATTTTGCAGCCCTAATGATTAGAAATGTTTCTGCTTTTTTTTTTTTTTTACTTTTAATCCATATTTATTTCTATATAAATAGGTGTAAAAAAAATAGCAATCTCCCCCCCCCCATGCAAACACCAGCTTTGATGCTGCTGCGGTAGCAATAGCTTTCGAAAAGAAAGAACAGCTGGCCTATAGAGTTTTCAATTCGGCGAATTTGAGAAGCAAGCAAGGCTAATAAAAAGAAGTTCCAAATCCTATAGAAGCTACCGTACTGTAAATAATCCCCATGAAACTGTCAAAAGTCAGAATTGATAAAGGAAATGTCATTGCTGCAAGGAGCAATCCTGGAAAAGCATTTTTTCTCTGGCAGTGGCAGAAGTCTCCATCTTAGATCTAATAAAAAGTGGACCTCATATTTCTCCACTTTTTTTTTTTCCTATTCAGGGTGAAGGAGACCTTGTTGCAAACTGCCCTCCGTTGAATTTTTATGTGCTTTTTTAAATAGATGCATCTCAATCTTCCTAAACTGAAAAAAAAGAGAGCCTAAAATACCTGTATCTGATTTTCATTTGAACCGCTCTAGCTCTGTATTTAAGTCCGTTTTCTACTACCAGAGAATCTTGCTCGGGAATTTAGGTCAGGAGGAAATAAAACAAGCATCCCATCCTTTGGAAGTCTCTTCCTTGAGACACTAGAGATGGAGAACTTCAAACTTGAGGAGGCAACCAAATCTTCTGAGCCAACTTGTCCAAATCCTTGAATTTGTCTCAGGCCAGGCTGCTTCCTGCTGTCAGTGTGGCTCCACAACAGTTTTGGATTTGGTTGTGTTCTCTGCTGATGTGTGGACATTCTCAATGGCGGAACGTAGACTCGGACAAAAAATGATTCTTCATTCTTATCATTAGGGCTACATGAACCTGGACTGCCACTAGACCAATGTTTCCCATCTTTAGCCTTTTTAAGAGGTGACAGAATACCCCAAGAAGCCCATGCCTCTTAAAATGGGTCAAGTTGTGTAATACTGCACTAGATAGTGACAAAGCAAAAATGTGGCTGAAATCATGCAGCCATCTAGGTTTTTGCAACAGATCTGTGGAGCCTTTGAACCCAAGGATGACCAACCTCATTCTCCTATGCCGAAATGACCGTGCGAACCTTTACTAATAGATCAGTTCACTTCAGGGCTGGCCAAAGAAAGACGGACAGGTGCCTTTTAGATATCGTAAAACAGGTATCTCTCTGAGATGGTCGGTCAGCTGGCTTCTGTGCAGTATAACGGGCCCCCCCAAACATGTCAGGTGGAACCGTTAAGCTACCTTGCAGAGAGAAAGCAAACAAGCAATGAATTCTTGTGTGCGGATAGTAACTTATCTTGCATACTTTTGAAGAGTAAGATTCAGGTTGTAATTTGCTGATTTGATCATATTCTGGGCCTCTAGGTGGGTCAAGCCATCTGTGTTGACGCCGTCAATGGCTACCACCATATCTCCCTGGCTCATCTGAGACTGGGCTGCCTTGCTGCCAGGGGTGATCTGTAAAAGAAAGGAGAAGAGAAGGTCAAGAATATATGCCACCCATGTCTGGATTCACATCCCCCAGAGCAGGAGTCTGCAACCTTGACAACTTTAAGACTTGTGGACTTCAGCTCCCAGAATTCCTCAGCCAGCATAGCTGGCTGAGGAATTGTGGGAGCTGAAGTCCACAAATCTTAAAGTTGTCACGGTTGCAGACTCCTGCCCTAGAGAGTCGCCTTATATAATTGACAAGGTCAGGTTTAAACCACACTTGGTACCCTTCTATTATTATTTTTTTTGCAAGGCCCAAAATCAAAAGAAGACAAAACAGGAGTCAAAATAAAACGTACGCATCAACCAGGGGCTGAAAGACACAATGCTCCATCACTAATCTCCCTCCTCGTAGACAAGGCAGGACATAACTTCCACGGGGAAACAGTGGACATTTTGGAATAAGCCAGACTCAAAAATGCAAGAGAATTCACTCTGACCAAGTGGCCATCAGCCAACACATAAACCTATTTATGGATCTATCAAAAGATGTAACCAAAGATGTCATTCACCTGGAGATCTCTAACTCCACAGAGTCCCTCCCTGAGCATAACCGGTTTAATACCAAGATCCATCTTATTATTGGCCAACCAAGGAACCTCACTTCTCCACATCACCTGCATATGTGACATTACCTACTGTGATAATAAAATATCTGGAATTAAAAACCCACCTCAGAAACCTCAAAACAGCACCGCACACCAACCCTGAGCTACACTTCTTTTCTACTGTCATGACCTATTTCAGAATGATAGATGAATTCAAGAAATCAATGCACATTACAGTGAAAATCCGTTTCATGATCCTACCTTTCTCAATTCCTGCTAATAATGATGCTCTGTGGAAGCCTTAAACTGTATTAAACTGACGGTTATGCGAGAGAGAAAAAAAGGGAATAGCCACAATCTACTCCACACGTTCTTCACATTCATTGCTCTTCTAGTTTTTTTTAAATAGGTGCGCAGTTCAGGACAAAGAATGTGTTTACACTAGTACATAGGTTACAGTGTGGATAACTAACAGTTTCTGGAAACAAACAGGATCTGAGTTAGCAAGTGCAGCTTTCATGGACACAATATATTTTGATGTCAGAGAACCATGACCTATAGGATGACCTTTGGTCCATCTTGACCAGTATGTTTAACGTAGCTTATATGAGATAGACTACCATGTAAACTGAATTAAATAAATATCCATGCATCCACTGATAATTGCAGAGTAGAATTTCTGGGTGGATTGTGCTTTGAAGAAAACTCATATTTCTATCAACAAGAACGTTGAGAATGTGATCCTGAAGCCCTACTTAAGTAGGGCTTGTATCTGTTATACACTTATACACTTGAACCTTCAGTTTTAAAGCTTTGTTCTCCCTTGCTTGCACACATTTCGGTACACACAGGGACCCTTGTGATGAATGGCAGGGTCTCTGCACCCAAAAGATTTTACAGGCATTTAAAACAAGCATGGTGACAGTGATCAAGGACCCTTCTCCTTTTTACGTGTGCCTCATATGTGATGCATGTGAAAAGAGGCGGGACTTCAAGCAAGAGAGCCTGTAAATAAAACCCTACCCCTGGGATAGGCAACCTTGGCTCTTTTATGACTCGTGGACTTCAACTCCCAGAATTCCTGAGCCAGCCATGCTGAGGGGAAAGGGAGAGGTTTCCAAGCTGAGCCATGCTGGCTCAGGAATTCTGGGAGTTGAAGTCCACGAATCATAAAAGAGCCAAGGCTGCCTATCCCTGCCCTACCCCTTTGACATGCCTCTCGACATATGTAAAAAGGTGGTGGGGTTCGGATCACATAGTTGTGGCTTCTAATTGGACATTTATAGTCATCTTCTACGACAATCCCTGAATATGCCTTAGTTGTGTTGAATGAGCCAACAGAGGAAGCCAATTTTTCTCACCGTACAGATCTGTTCCTTTTGAAATACGGTCCCCTGTTTAAACAATCAAACGCTCCATGCATAATGCAGTCGGTTTTTGATACTTGACGAAAAGCTACGCAAATACATCATCCAGGTCCCCCAACTTTGAGATGGGGATGAAAAGAAAAACAAGTTGAGACAAATGACAACTTCCAAATATTGCTGGAAGGAGCAATCTAATTAGGGTTCAGCTGTCTCCAGCTTGGCTTCTGGCAACTTCAGAGTAAACACACACACACCCACACACACACTTCTCAGCAAGGGTACAAGAATGGTTTTCCATCACGTTCAGTTTCATTTTATGTTTTAACTTCTCCATCTAACATACAGCCCTAGCAGAGTCTGTCAACAGTTCATAAATCTAACAAAAATGGTATTCAGTAACAATATTTTCTGCGGTCAAAATAGGGCTCGTCTAACATAACTCTTCAGACATAAAAGGTTCTCCCGGCTTCATAGCTATGTTTACTTATCAAGAGAAGCAGTGATGTGTGAGCACAACTCACACAGGGTCTTTGAAAAAGGGAGAGAGAGAGCCTCCCTCCCTCTAAGAATATATACTGTTCACATCTTGAAACACTGCTGTCCATCTTGTCTGAATAATGTTAACTATTCCGACTTGCTGATGTATTCAAATTCAGGAAAGCTGATGCGGGCTGATTCACACCTGCTCGTACTTATCAAGGATGAAGATTCATTGCTGAACCTTTGGGGAGGGGGGGGAGGAGGAGGAGGAGGAGGAGGAGGAGGAGGAGGAGGAGGAGAAGGAGAAGGAGAAGGAGAAGGAGAAGGAGAAGGAGAAGGAGGAGAAAAAGGAGAAGAAGAAGAAGAAGAAGGAGGAGAAGAAGAAGAAGAAGAAGAAGAAGAAGAAGAAGAAGAAGAAGAAGAAGAAGAAGAAGAAGAAGAAGAAGAAGAAGAAGAAGAAGAAGAGGAGGAGGAGGAGGAGGAGGAGGAGGAGGAGGAGGAGGAGGAGGGTTAGTCACATGGATTTCAATATAGATAATTGACTCATCAGTGTAGAACTAATACAATTAAACTGAAAAATTTTGTCCTATAAACTTAATGCCTTTTCATTCACCTAACTTTTGTGATGATTCCTCCTATGAAACTGGAGGAAGACAAAGTCAAGATAAGAAGCTTCACCATCCTTGACTGTATCCATGAATCAATCCCAAAGGATGCAAAATATGCAGAACAGGTATTGTATTCTAGTTGTGGTGAGTTGCCAACCTCTTTTCAGAGGAATCTCTGCAAAATCTCAATTTTGGAATCACTGCCCCTTTCCTTCCATGGTGAGATCTAAATTCCTTATATGCACATTCTAAATATAGGCTTCCAGACTCTCAAGGAAAAAAACCCCCACATTGTAGTACAGCAACTTTCATGTCTTTATCTATTCCCGGGTTGCTGTAGTGTAGACTCTGAAACTATTGGTGTAAGACACGTTTGACACATATCACACTCAACAGCTCCTGAAAGGAATTATTCATCATAATTCCTGCTCAGGTAGGTGGTTCCATTAACGGTGCTCAGATGGGTTATTTAATCTAGATTGCAAAACTCTTGATGGTCAGGAAAGCATTAGAAAATCTTGAAGCCCAAATCTGATAGCCGTGTAGGCAAGCAACATTTCTCTTGAATTCGTGAAACTGAAAAAGCTTGCCTTGGTTCAAAGATGAAAACATCACCTCATCTATCCCAAGCTTCCTGTTGAAAGAGCAGCGGGTTAGAAATAAATCCTATTCAAGATAGATGAATTTCAACTGGTTGGTGGATGATCTAGAACAGGGCTTTTCAACCTTTTCACCCATTGTTCCACTTTTAGGATATGGCAACATCCGAGTACCACCAGTCGCCTAGCAAGGTGTCAAATACTTGATGACCCAAAAAAAAGGGGAAAAAGTGATAAAGTACAGGTAATCCTCGACTTACAACAGTTTGCTTAGTGACTGTTCAAAGTTACAGTGGCACTGAAAAAAGTGCCCCCCAAGCCACAGCCGAACAAGACACCTGCCTGCCCACCCGGCGGCACTCTTCCTCCTGTCCGAGGTTTTAATTGTTGTGAGCATTTCTGTTGAGGATTGGCAGCAGGGGTGGGGTGGGGGGTGTTTGGTTTTTATTCCCCCCCCGTCTGCTGGGTGGTTGCAGCAGGTTTTGGTCACTTCACATGACCCTGGGACACTGTGACCGTCATAAATATGAATCAGTTGCCAAGCATCTGAATGTAAATCACAAGACCCTGGAGATGCTGCAACATTCCAGCTGATCGGCGCTTCTTCTGGGCTCAGCAGAAGCACTAGGATCAGCGCTGAGCTCCAGCTGGAGCCTGGCGCTGATCCTGGTGCTTCCGCTGAGCCCTGACAGCCCTGCAGCTCCAGCCGTCTCTCGCTCAGGCTTGTGCGGTGCTGCCACCGGTTCAGCTCATTCCCCTCCCCTGCTACCACTTTTCTAGGATGGTCGTGTACCACCTGCCAGATGCCAATGTACCACAGGTGGTACCCGTACCACTGGTTGACAAGCCCTGATCTAGGCAAAGTCCTTTGAGATTCAGCAGGATCATTGGCATCCTTCAGTCTGGAGAGACGATGGTATCGTGCTCTGGAAAGAGGACCTAAGGCAGCATCTGGTGTGGCTGAAAAGGCCAATTCGAGAATGGCAGTCCCTTCCACACTGGGGGCAGATACAATCTGTCTCCTGTCCAGCCCCCAGATTTCGCTGGTTCCGGGACTGCCTCTTTGCCTCAGCCTGTCTCTTCGAATTGGAGAAGGCCATGCTGCATCTTTCGCCTCCAGGCTGAACGATCAGAGGTCAAGGATTCCCAGCAGGATCATCTCCAAGTAAATAATAGTCTTTCCCCTCCCTTAATTTTTTCCAGGGTCCCTGGGACATAGTGATGGCTTCTCAGTATTTTGACAAAGTCCACAAGAGCTGAAACATCCAGAAAAGCGATTAACGCCGGCCAGCAAAGCAAAGTGAAGAGTAGCTGAAGAGAACACACTTTAAGCAAAGAGAATAACTTACTAAAATTAGATCCTAA